GCGCAGGTCGCCGATGAGGAGGAGCTTGGCCCAGCGGCCGAGGATGGTGATGGCGTGGATGACGTTGAGGGAGACGGGGAGGGTGATGTAGGGGTAGGAGGGGATGGGCTGGCTGAGCCACTCGTCGAACCAGGCGCGCAGGGCGGCGTTGGATTGGTAGAAGGAGTCGAGCGGGGAGGGCGTGCCGGCGGCGATGGAGGACTTGGAGAGGGAGGAGAGGAGGGCGGCGTCGAGTTTTGGGGGTTCGTGGATGCGGAGGCGGACGGTGTTTATGGTTAGACGCATGAGTTCTGTTTGTTTCGTCAGAGGAGTTGAGAAAGGCACACTTCAAGGGGCTGCGGGAGGGAACGTACCGTCTTCTTGTAACCTTAGTGGCATGCTCTTGATGAGGTTGTTTAGCTCTGCATCAAATGCAGAGGCGTATGCTGCAAAGGGGGCTCTGGGTACTATTTCGGGTTCCTCTTCGTCTTCGTCGTTGCGTTGGGATAGGCTTATGATCTTGCTGGAGAGGATCTGTATCCTGATGAGGTAGGCTAGATACGTGTCCGATTCGTATTCCTGTGTCATCTCGAGCTCGCGAAGACATCGGCGCATGTATGGCGTGAACTTCATAGCTTCAATCTGCCCCATGCCGATGGATATCCTGCAGACAGGTCAGCAACACACGATAAAACGAACAGATGACCAGGGGGTCGCCGACTTACGTGGAGCTCAAGTACCACACCGCAAGCAGCAATCTCTTCTGCTCGCTCGTCCTCTCCCTCACCTCCCCAAGGTTCTCGACCAACAGCTTCGTGCGCTCCTGGTACCCCGGACTGCGCGTGAGCCCCAGCTCGGCGGCCTGCGTGACGGCGAGCGCGACGAGGTTCTGCATTTGGGCGTGGACGAAGCAGTGGTGGTGATGCCAGCCGAGCATCACGACGAGCCCGGCGAGGAGGTCGAGCGAGCGCTCGGAGCGGAGGATCATGGCGTCGGCGACGTGGGCCTTGAGGCGGTACATCTGGCCCTGCATGGAGCGCAGGCTGCGGAAGGAGGCGACCATGCGGATGCAGGACATGGTGAAGGGCCGGGTCGCGGCCAGGTCGGCGGGGGCGGTGCCGTGGGGGATCACGACGAAGGGGTACGCCGGGGTGAGGGAGTCTTGGTAAATGGAGAGGAGGGTCGCGTCCGAGTCGAGCGGACCCGGGACCTGGCCGGGCGGCGGGCGGCAGATGCATGTTGAGGGCCCGAAGGAGTTGTAGGAAGGTGGGATGGTGATGTAGGTGCTCCTGGATGGGGTGCTTGCGTACGTTTCTGGGGACCTTCCCGAGGTGGTGGCTTGTGATGCTGGCGAGGTCTGTTGTGTGTTAGTTGGATGATTTGGTTGATTGTTGAAGAGTGGGTGACTTACTTCATCGATAGACAGTCGATTGGTTGTTGCGGTGATGTCGTTGGACCCCTGCAATGCTCTGATGAGACTGTTCAGACGTTCTTCTAGTTGTGCCGTTTTTCTTGTGACCGATGTTAGCCGAGCCATCAGATCATGATAATACCTTGATGCAACTCAAGAGCGATATCAAGAATAGGAGAGAGGTAGATGAAGAAGACAAGGGTATGTACTCACGATGGCTTATTCTCTCTCCTCTTGCGCGGCCCGCGTATCTTCTCAGTGCACTCCTTACCCAGCCTTCGACACCTTTGAACCGACATATTGAGCCATGTACACAAAAGCAACGAAGGAGGATGCACAACATGACGTACCTCTCACACTTGGGATCCGTCGAGCCAGCCGGGCGGAGGCACTTTGCTTTGGCTACCGCACACTGGGCACACGCCGCACCCCATTTTGCAGGGGGTTCGGGACGGTGAGGGCGGCTGATGGATGGCGGCGGCGGCACGGCGTTTGTAGGCGTTGTCCAAGACAACGACATTGCTACCGTGGTGCGCAAATGAAAATGAGGGGTTTTTTTGGCTCTTTCTCTCAAGAATCAAATCAGGTTCCTTCCTCCTGAGCTACAATCTTGGTTTGCAGTGGATCGGGTTTGCTTTGCTTTGCTTGCGAACGGCGGGCAGGAGCGGCGTTTACAAAGTTGCCTGTCGATCATGAAAAAGGAAAGGCGGGCCGGCGTTTATATACAGGGCTTTACAAAGGTCCGAGCACGGAGAGAGCAGCAGCAGTAGGTAGCTGTCTTCAAACCTACGCCTCAGCATTGTCTTTCATAAAGAAGGGCACGTTTGCCCCCTCCTCGAATATGATGACTCTGCTGAAGATCCCTAGACGTTACTGAAACTCTAAAACACAAAAGAGGGTAAGTCGTTCATGGGGACTCGTCAGGATAAGAGGCATTGTTGAGTTTGGATTCATGGATCTTGAGTGTTGGTTAGTAACCAGCCCGCTGCGGGTGGGCGGCTGGCCGGAGTTTACTGTAATTCTCCGCCCCGATCGCTGGCTGCCGATTGGGGCCCTTGCGAGCGGCACGCTGAGCTGAGGCTTGCACTTGGCTGCTGGAACGCTAACACGGTAAAAACGGATATCTGTTGACCCAATTTCATACTCGAGCATTAGATGGACACAAAGAACAAACGAATCAACGCTGTTCCCGCCAGCTTAAATTTGGCCTTGACTCTGTTGCCTTCAATGCATCGCCCCTCTGAGTCCGTCGCCTCCGGTGGCCGCCCCACACGATCCCGGCGTTCCTGCCGGCGCTCCTACCGGCCGTCCGGGTTGACATCTACTTGAAGCCTGCCACGCGTCTTCCAGTGTCATTCATCTTTCCTCGTGACAATAGTTTGGTTCGATGCTAAGTGAATGAGAGAATTAGATTCATAAAGATTCATTAGTCGGGTTCTTGTTGGTTTTAGTTAAGGATTCGAAGTTGACGGACGTTCTATCTGTATAGTTTAATAACCTAGTCCACACTCCTCAGACCAAAGTAGCTAATGAACATGAGAGCTGCAAATAAAATGTAACCAATGTTACTGTTGCCTGTCTATGATTTAGAAAGTGCCTATGCAGAGAACTATATGATTATGAAACCGGGTCCAACTCAAATTTGAAGCTCCTTCTGAATTGGAACTTGTACGCCCTGCCCCTCAAAAACCTCATCACCAACATCATAAGTCAACATCTTCTGCCCCATGCCCAACTTGCTCAACCCAGCCGTATTATACACCCACAACCCGCCCGACAGAACCATCTCATTTAGCCTCAACCGCCACGGCTCCTTCTTCTTGCGGATCTGGCCCCTGCTCTCCGTCGTCTTGAGCATCTGCTCCGTCCGCACCTTCCTTTTCTGCTCAAACTGCCGCAGCCCGTCCTCGATCGACACACCCGGACAGCTGCCCAGCATCTTGGAAAACAGGAAAATGTCCTCCAGCGCCATGGACACGCCCTGGCTAGCGTGCGGCGGCATTGCGTGCGCCGCGTCCCCGATAATCAGGCACCGCCCGCGCGACCACGGCCGGCCCGTGGGCACCTTGTAGATCGGGTAGAACTTGACCACCTCCGTCTTGCGGATGATGTCGCGCACCGTCCGCGGCCACTCGGCGTCGGAGTCGCCCAGCAGACCCAACAGCGTCGCCTTGAACCCCTCGACCTCCTTCTTGCCGCGCGTCTCCCAGCCGTCGCGCACGTCGCCGAACGAGGGGAGCGGCACCTCGCGCGAGAAGAACCAGTACAGCACGTCGCGCGCGGGTGTCGTGGGCGTGATGGCGAGGAGGCCGTCTGAGGTGAGCGTGGCGTTGAGGTCTGTCATGGAGGCCGCGGCGGGGGAAAGGGAGGCGGTCGGGAGGAGGGAGAAGACGTTGGAGATGCCGGTGTATTCGGGCGTGCACTCCGGGTCGACGTAGAGCTTGCGCACGCTGGAGTGGATGCCGTCGCAGCCGATGAGGAAGTCCGACGTGTCTGAAGTGCCGTCGTCAAAGGAGGCCGTCACGCGCTCGTCGTGCTCCTGGATCCCGGTCAGGTACTTGCTGTAGTGGACCTGGATGCCTGCGGCGTCTGCGGCTTTGAGGAATACGTCCATGATGTCAGTTCGGCGGACGCGGAGGTAGCTGAAGCCGGTGCGCTCCTGGCTCCACGAGACCATGTCCATCTTGCCGAGGACGCCGCCTTTGGAGGAGTGCAGGAAAGTGCTGGCGGTCTCGGCGCCCTTTGCTGCTACCTGGTCGTAGAGGCCAAGGCGGTCGAGCAGGCGCAGGCCGTTGGAGGGAATGCCGATTGCGCCGCCGAGGGTGCTTGGCCGTGGGCGGATTTCGTAGACTGTGCATTTGATTTGGTGGTCTCGTTGGAGGAGAAGGGCTGTTGCGAGGCCTGCTGGGCCGGCGCCGATGATGGTAACCTGGAGGTGACGTGATCAGCAACTCTGAAGTATGGCTTGTGGGTTGAGACATGCCTGCGTACCTTTTTGATAGACTCCATCGCAAGGGCTTGTCTGATTGAGGGATTGAAGATGATCTTGCTTGACATTTGTCTTTGTTGGGGATGCTACTTGTCTTGAAAGGGAATCTCTTGCTGGAGGTCGCAAAGGCACATCTTATAGCATCATTTTCGAAACAAGAGGCCTCGTGATGTGTGAAATCGGCCATCTGAACCGCCGCTTACACGGCGTGTCGGCGTCTCAAAGAGGCAACTTCCACTCCCGTCCACGCCACCGTCTCACCGAGCACGTCGGCGCTCCGCATCGCCGGTGGAATCGGCACGGCATCCAACTTGTCACCTATACCGACATTACTTCTTCACTCATCCAAAGCCATCAACAAGGCCTCCCTCGCATTCGCAGTATGAGACGGGATGGGCACGGCCAGTGATCGGGCCATTGGACCCACTTCTGCGGCCGGCCGGTCGGAGCTTAGTGGGGGTGGGGCCATCTGGCAGGTGTCGTTTCGCCGTCGGCGATTTCGCTATTCTCCGGTCTTGTCGATCCCCCCAAGACTCTCGCACTTCGACACAATCAGGGGGAATAATCAAAAATCAAACTTTGCCAACCAAGGCCGTGATAACCGAGCGCTAATCACAAAATCTATAATGTCTCTTCCACCTCGTCAGACAGCTTCACCCGCTTCACCCGCTGACTCGTCAACCCCCTGGGCTCAATAACATGCTTCGTCCGAACCCCGTCCGCGTCCACGACCATGACCTCGCTCTTCCCCTTCCACCCCTTCTCCTCCACATCAACCATGCGCAACATCCCCTCGTCACCCTCATGCGCCATCCTCAATAACGCAGGCCTTCCGCCGTCCTCCTGCCCAAAAACACCCTCCCACAACCCCCTCGGCTGCCCCGGATCGCACACCCGGTTCGACCCCGGCGCCCAGCGCATCTGGCCCGGCATGCGGTGCGCGCCCAGAACGTCGCGCCGGTCCTCGCCCAGCCACAGCGCCCTGAGGCTCGGCGTCGCCTGCACGTAGCAGCACTTCACCGGCAACAAGCCCGACAGCCGGCCGTAGTCCCTGCCCTCGGCCTCGTCGATGATGGCCGTCGCGCTCTGCAGCCACGTCGTCTCCCCGTCCATGGTCACCGCGCACGCATCCTGCGGGCCCCGTGGCGCGGAGAACTTGGTGTTGCTCGTGCTCGCGGGCTTCACCATGACGGGCACGATGCCGCCGAGCGCTTTCTCCTCGGCAGGCCAGACGGGGGATGTGGCGGAGACGAGCGGCTCGCAGGTTAGTGTGTCCGCGACGGAGACCTGCATCTCGTAGAGCCAGGTGCGGAGGAGGTCCGGGCCGGCGGTCTCGACGCTGATGCAGGAGACGGCGGCGTAGGATTTGCGCTCGATGCCGAGGGCGGCGGCGTCGCGGCTGTAGAGCATCGGCAAGGTGGCGCCGGTGTCGAGGAGCATGCGGAAGTGCAGCGTCGCCTCTGTGGGGTCGGGCGTCATGTGCGGGTGCCGCGAGGGCCGGCACCGGCGGAGGGTTGATGGAGGGAGTGGGTTCGGGTTGGGCTTGCGCTGGGGGAGAGGGTTGGCTGGGTCGAGGGGGCTTTCCTCTTTCTCGACGGGGGACGTGGGGACGGGCCATCTCACGTCTTGAGACTGGCCGCGCCGCCGCTTGCGGGAGGGAGGGCCGGGGTGGTAGACGAGGTTGCGCATGCGGCGGAAGGACATTGTCACGCTGTAGTGGCCCATGTCGTATGTCGTGTCCGTCTCGGGAACCCAGGTGCCGCGGCTGGCGGAGAAGAGGGGTGCCGCGGCGCGGGTGAGGGGCGGCTCGAACCAGAGCCAGCCCTCGCCGTGCATGCGCGCGTAGCGGTCGAGGCGGTCGGCGCGGTCGGCGGTGAAGGAGGTGTACGTCGGGGCGAAGTCGACGAGGTGGCCTGCGTAGATGATGGCCCAGTTGGAAGAGTAGGGGATGCGGGAGGTGCGGTAGAGGGAGATTGCCGCGGATATGTTTGCATGTTCGGGGGGAAAGGTAGATTCTTCCAGGGCGGCTTCGAGGGTCTGGATGCGAGATGCGATGGTGGTCTGTTTGTGGTCTTGGAGGGATTTGAGGGGCGTTTCCACGTCCTCAGTGACGGAGGACTGGAGTGCGGCGAGTTGGGTGCGGGCTTGAGTTAGGGATTCGAGGACGAAGGGCGCGCCGGCAGGGGTTGACGAGAGGGTTTGGTTGTAGATTGCTTCCCATTGAGTGACCAGACGTGATGCCGCTTCGATCGCCGTGAGATTCTTGCCTAGGGGCGCGCCGATGACGAGGGATGGCGCATCAGATGGGGTCGAAGTTGACGTCCGGAGGCGTCGGCGCCAACTGGCTTCGATGTCCTGCGTTTCTTTCTCGATGCGGGCTTGCTCTATGAGTTGGAGCTCGTTCTCTTTGGCCGCATCGTAGTCCAGCGTTGGGGAATTGTCATCGCTGGCAGAACTGTCGTCGTCGTCTTGTGTTCGATCTGCGACATCAGCTTCTGCAGCGTCTTGATCTTGGTGTGGAAGCAAGTCATCAGTCTCATTGGGATTCTCGACATGAGCACCGCGCTCGCTCTTTGAGTTGTCGAGAGGCATCGCCCCGCTGTTGTGGCTCTCGTAGGATGCCAACGCCTCTGAAGCCTAGATGGCAAAGATGCGATGCAGCAGCAAGTCCAACGCCTTTCTTCTGAATATATTTCCAATCGTAAATATGTTTGTCTGAAGGTATCTTCACGGCTTTTGTGTCTTGCATCGCAATACATTACAGATGAGGCTGCAAAGTTTAACCGCAAAGCTGCGACCGCCATCCATCGCAGAATCCAGCTCCAAAACACCTCACACCATCCGCGACAACAAAGCTCAACCGTTGCGCTCAATGTAAACGGCTTGGACAAAGAGACGCACCGAAATTAGAAGCTCAGAGCTCAAAGCTCAAAGACTATCCCGAAACCGGCAATCAGCTTGCCCTGCTCTGCCCTGGCAAACACATTGTCCGCATTAGCCGTTTATCCCTTTTCTCAGTCTCTCCCATTGGACCCTTTGTCACAACCCATGTCGTAAATGCCCACGGTGACTCTTTCTTCGGACTTTTGTGACACTTTAGCATGAATGTCTCAATGAAAATTTCAGTCTTATTCTTTCCCGCTCCTTTGGGAGGGTTACCTTCCTTGGACTTCTTTCGGCCGTCGTGGCGGTTCTTTTCAAAACGGCCATGTCTCGCATCTCGGAAAGACGATTGTGAGAATTCCTCCTTCATCTCTGTCTTTCAATCTCCTCAGTTCTCTTTTGTGAAAGAAAGGCGTTGAGTTGCTTTTCCGTACTCTCTGTGATTCCTCCCATAGAGAGATGATTCTGGTCCTGAGCCACTTGGTCCTCTTATTGATATCACCTTTCCGCCGCGGCCTGAGCTTCCCCCTTTCCTCCCGGCCCGTCACATCGGACCTGTCCCTTGAGATCTTTGCTCTTGGAGAGTTGGCAGAGTGCCGCAGTGAGCGCCACAATACGTCGCCGTCATGGCTCAAGAAAGGATGCGTAAGTCTTCTCAAATCACAACTTCTCCCAAAGACAAGATTGATATCTGACTGGCAAAAACACAACAACAGCCGAGCTGACCGAGCTCATCCGCAAAATCTACCACCGCTTCCCCTCCGAGACGTGGGAGCGCACCCGCACCCTGCTCGACCACCACCCGCCGCACCACCTCTTCGCGCACGTCGAGGACCTCATCGCCACGCGCGCCGTCGACCACGTCCTCCGCTCCGACGCCGCCTTCCACCGCCTCGCGGCCGACTTCTACGGCCCGCGGCACCCCTGGCTGCGCGATGCGGACCTCGGCCAGGCGCGCTGGGAGGAGTACGGCGAGTTCACGGCCCGCAGCGCCGCGGCCGAGGTGCAGGCGCAGACGCAGCAGCAGGACCCGGCCGCGGCGAGGAGGGCGCTGTTGCTGCGCAAGATTAGAGAGGGTGGCGACGTGGAGCGCTGGCGGCGGGTGCTCGGGCTCGAAGATGCTGTGTTTTCCGAACAGGAGATTCGCGGGAACGACACGGAAGGGCCTGCCTTTGGGAGGGGCGAGGTGAGGGTCGCTAGAGGTGTGGAGGTCGGCGCTTGTATTGACGGGCCTGGGGGCGAGTATGGCCCGGAGACGTGGGTGCGCGCGGAGGAGGAGGAGAGGGTTGCGCATGTGGGTGTGCCGAGGGCGCCTGGCGAGGGCGGGGAGGCGCCGCGGAACCCGTTCACGACGGAGTGGGTGCCGAGGGCGACGCCGGGCGGGGAGAAGTTCCCGGAGACGTTTGATCCGTTGTATACGAGCAACCAGTTCATCCGGCGGTCGAAGAAGTACGAGCATCCGAAGATGCCGGTGCAGGATGAGGACGAGGAGATGGCTGGGGAGGAGAATCCCGAAGCGATGGCGGCGCAGGCGGGTGTCACGACTTTCACGAAGCTGAGGAGGGGGGATTCTTCGACCGTGACGCAGACTTTGCCCCTTCCGGTATGTGCAACACTTTTGTGGTGTTTGTGATGTTGCTGACCAGGTCTCAGGGACAACCTCCAAGGAGTGGCACGCAGACTAACACCGGCAACGTGGGTAACATCCAGCTCTTCGGCGGGCACACCGTCCCGTCGTCGCCAGCGAGGCCACTTATACCGGGCTTCACCATCAGCACCAGGACAGATAACCCGCAGACATCCCAGCCGGTGACGCACCCGTCCATCGTGGTCACCGACACATCCTCCATAGGCCACACCTTGCCCCTCTTCGGACGCATTTCAACCACCACAGAGCACACTGAAGCTTCTCTACCTCAAACACCACGCATCCACACTCCCTGGCGCCAGGAACTGCCCCCTCCCCCCATCCCAGAAGACGAGCTCCCGTCCCCCGCCGAGGACGTCGAAATGGCCGACTCCGACTCCGACTCCGACGCCGTCTCCATCGTCTCGTCCATCGACCCAACCTCCACAACCTGGCTCGAGGACTTCCTCCGCGCCGAGCCCAGCGTGCCCGCCGCCGACCTCGAGATGATGACCTACCGCGGCTGGCGCATCCACTCCCCGCGCATCCAGCTCATCCGCATCAAGAACTTCCTCGCCGACGAGGACGTCGACCGCACCATCGGCTGGGCCGCCAAGTTCGCCGAGGTCGTCCTCTTCCTGCAGCACTGCATGCGCCTGCCCGACGCAGCGCACAAAAGCTGGTGGGACGACCTCCGCGAGGCCATCAAGATGGCGCACACGCACCAGCTCTTCGAGCAGCACCACTACGGCGAGCAGCGACTCGTCGTCGACTTCCCCGAGATGAGCGCCGCCAGCACGCGATTGCCGCAGGTCCAAGGCGGGCGCGGCGTCGTCGTCGAGGAGCCCCCGCAGGAGCCGGTGCGCCCGCGGTATTTGCTGCACCGCGTGCCTGAGTCGTTGCATGATGTGGATTACCAGATCCCCGCGCCGCTGCTGCGCAATACCTTCCTGACGTGGTTCCGCGAGGACGGCAACCTGGTCTGGATGAGCACCGGCAACGACAACCCCGGCTCCGGGGACCGCGGGAAGAGGTTCGGGTACGAGCCCGACTTCAACATGGCGCTGACCGAGGACGCGTGGTTCGGGAAGTGCCTCGCCGGCGGCGCTGAGACGACGGCCGCGAGCCTGCGCGGCGAGGCGAACTTCTACATCCTGTCTAACGAGCACGTGCCCGGCGAGGTCGAAGAGGTTACCGTCAATGGTACCACGCATAAAGTCACCCCGCTGTTCCCCGAGGGCGAGACGCAGCAGCGCTTCGCGCGGTACCGCGGCGCGAAGCGCGCGGCGCTGCAGTTGTGTTTGACGCACTTTGACGGCGTCGAGAACGTGGCCATCCAGGGGCCGTTCCGCAAGCTCGTGATGCCGCTCACGAAGCGGCAGAAGGCGGCGGCAAGGGAGGCGGCGGGTGAGGGGATCGTGTACAAGCCGCACGCGCTCGAGGCGCCGCCTGAGGGGGCCAAGGTCGATCCGCTGGGGCTGACGTTCTGGCACCAGAAGATGCGAGAGAGCCACTACACCAGGGCGAGGGCGACGCGGGACCAGACGGAGGAGGCGCACCGGCGGTTTCTGCGGGAGATTGGCGCCGGCGGGGAGGGGGATGATATCGTGCTCCCGCCGCGGAACTACCTCGGTCCGCTGACCGGGATGAGCTATCTCACCGAGGGTGAGACGGAGAAGCTCGAGAGGATGAAGATGCTGAACGGGCTGCGGGATAACCTGCAGCGGGCGTATAACCGGGCGCCGCGGGAGATGTTGCAGGGGGTGCTGAAGAATATTGAGTATGGGTTTGCCGGGGGCGAGTCGTGGGACATGCGGGACGAGCTGCGCGAGCATAGACAGAGGCACGGCAAGTATCTCCGGCTGAACGGCGCGGAGCTGTTCTGGATGGAGTGGATGTGCGAGCCGTCGACGAACGTGAGGGCGCAGCGGGGCGGGGGGCTGCCGGCGCTCGGGAGGGAGTTTGAGGTGTTTGTGGCGAGGATGGAGGGGTTGCTTGGGGATATGGACATGGGGAGTCTGCTTGCGAGGGCGGAAGACAAGGTCGACGTGGGACGCGTGACGGAGGCGTTGAATGTGGGCTTGAGGGAGGGCGATTACGAGTTAAAAGAGGATGTTGTTGGGAGGTTTTGCAAGGTGCTTTCCGAGCATGGACGCCTTGGGTGAGTCTCCCCCCTTGATATCATCAACTCATCACTAACAACCCGCAGATACGAGGCCGACAACGGAACGATCACCATCTCCCGGCCGCACTGCGACTGGCACCCGGAACACCGCGTCTACTGGCCCACGGGCTCCGACCCCTGGGACCCGCAGAACAACGTCTTCCACCGGACCAACCTGCCGGACCCCAACGCCCGCTGGAGCTGGCAAACCGCCTTCGACAATATCAAGCTCGTCGACGCCACGCGGGGCGTGACCAAGACCATGCTCTGGGCGCTCGCGTACCGCGTCGGCGTCGAGCTCGACGGCCTCGTGCGCGACCTGCGCCAGGTCCGCGAGCAGCTGCGCGACGCCGCGGCGTGGGACCGCCGCGCGGTTGGGCTGCAGGACGTCACGGGCCAGTGGCGCAATCACTTTGAGCGGCACGGGAGGGTGGAGGTGGACGGGTTGGGGCCGCCGGTGTCGTATGTTAGTGTGGTGCGGGCGGGCGACCCGGCGAAGTGGGAGCCGGGCATGACGGAGCCGGAGGCGTACGAGGTTGTGAGGAGGGGGGTTATCGATGAGCTGAGTGAGGGGAAGAGCACGCTGTGGCCTTCGCGGCCGCGGTTCTCGAAGAAGTTAGAGGGCGGCAAGGAGGTGGAGGTCGCGACGCTGCACCGGGACCGGGTGTGGGACTGGGCGGCGCCCGAGGTCGCGGGGCGGAAGGGGCGATTCTTCTCGGTGAACCGGTGGCCGGTGCATCTGCAGAGCGAGAGGACGCAGGAGAAGATCAGGAACAGCAAGGAGGATGCGGAAAGGGCGCGGGAGACGGAGCGGGAGGCCATCAGGGAGAGGTTAGCGAGGCTTGAGGAGGAGAGCCAGCCGACGGAGGCGGAACTGCGGCAGCGGGAGGTTGATAGGATGCTCTCTGTGCCGTACCACGAGGGGGACGACCGCACGGAGTTCTTCCCTTCGGTGGAGTACTGGGGCGGCGACACGCGGTTGCAGAGGAGGGCTGTGGAGGCGCATGTGAGGGGGTTGATTGCCGGTAAGTCTGCTTCGTTATGTGGATGATATGCTTGGATGCTGACGGGATATGCAGAAGAGATGGGTCCGAATGATGGAAGAGCGCCTCGTGGACAGGTCCAGCAAGGCTCGGGAATTGCGTCCTTGAGCAGGATCAGCTTGCCAGAGGTCAACTCGCCAGACATCCCGCACAGCGTGCCTGGTTTCCTGGCGAGGGGCTGGAATCCGTTTGGAAGTACAGTGCCGCAGGCGCGGACCGAGCCGGCAGCGCAGGATACTGAGCGATTGAGTGATACCTCGTCACTGGTGTATTCGCATGAGGACGGCGAGCCGGAAGAGGTTCAGCGGCGGGTGCATTTCGAGGATGAGGGTTGAGCAGGGAAGTGAAAGGGATTCGGGCGTTAGTGGACAGGCATTCGTGATTTCTCTGGATTGGATGCTTTAGACAAGAGATGTATTCGTCCCAGCATGGACTTGACATGTGTAGTGAAGGTTCTGAGTGAATGGCACGGCGTTTTTCTTCAAGCTCCATCAAATGTGGTTTTGATTTGCAGCACATGAGTGATGCCATCGAACGTGGAGCTCCGTTGTGCCCGCTCACTCGAGCTCGTAGGCCAGAAGGTTTGATTATCGCTTTCGGACACATCCCGTTCTCAGCCGCCCTTCACTCGAAGAACAGGCCGTGGTGTATCAGTGTAGAGTGCAAGGAGCCGTGTCCGCACTCGAGATAGCCAAACCTCAGAATGGGACCTTGCCGGCCGGGGCTCCTCATCGTCGGCTTGCCACAGGCTCAATCCAGTCCTGCGTTGGTCGTCCTACACATCAGCATCTCAATACCGCATCACCACGATTCCAAGCCATTGAGTTCCATGCCCATAATATTAACGTGAAAACAAACAACCCGAAAAAAAGACCACCGTCTGCAGTCGAAGTTTTGATCTTTATTTTCAGATCCGAGCTAGCTTGCCCATAAAGCCTTAATGTTCATCATGCCCTGGCCAACCCAACGATGCAGTATAACGGCAACGCGCAACTCCATTTGAGAGAGAATTTTCCCAGAAGCCACCACAGGGTTTTCGTAACATGATATCCTTTCCCTGCCGGCGCCTCAAATCTGTTTTCTTCTTCCTCCCGCTTTCACCTCGTCATTACCAGACTTCCTGTTGGGAGAAATCTAGTAGCGCTTGCCCTCGCGCAGAGTGTCGGCGTACTCCTCGAGCGGGGATCTGATGAGCTTGGTCTCCTTCCACAGGTTGGGGGTGAGGAAGCCGTAGGTGTTGGAGACGGCGACGAAGGTGGCCTTGAGGGTGTTCTCGAGGGTCTTGGTGGAACCGGCGGAGGAGGTGTAGGCGTCCTCGACACCAGCAAGCTGGAGGAGACGCTTGACGGCGGGGGAGGCGACGAGGCCGGTACCGCGGGGGGCGGGGATGAGCTGTGGTTGTGCGCATTAGCAACCAACTTCTGATTTTCCTTCTTTTCTGCCTTCCACTGAAAACCAGGACGCAGCGAGCGGGATATACATACACGGACGGTGACGGAACCGCACTTGCCAGACTCCTTGGTGGGCAGGGAGTGGGGCAGACCGAGGTTGGTACCCCAGTATCCGCGACGGACGGGGATGACGCTCAACTTGGCGATGATGATGGCGGCACGGATGGCGGTAGCGACTTCCTTGGAGGTCTTGATGCCGAGACCGACGTGGCCCTCGGAGTCACCGATAAGGACGATGGCCTTGAAGCGCGTGCGCTGACCGGCACGGGTCTGCTTCTGGACGGGCTTGATCTGCAATTGGGGAAAAAGAACCACAGGTTAGCACATTGTCCCTCTATTTCCCTTTTTCAACTCAATTGCAACAATAACGACCCCGTCGTATCCGTAGACCTAGACGAATTGCAACCCCTTCCCCAAGATCTCCAATTGCGCATTGTCGGGCAAAAAGTCGGTTTGCGATAATTTTCGATCTCGGGGGATTGGGAGTAATTCGTCGTAGGTCTTTCGGTCTTCGGGATGTTGTTGTTGTAGCAATTTTGTTGCATTGTGTTGTGTGCGCGCACCTTCATGACCTCATCCTTAAGCTTGGGCAGGAAGAAGTCGACAATCTGGTACTCCTTGATGGGCAGGGAGTGCAGGTAGATCTCCTCCATGCTGTTGATCTTGCCGGCCTTCACGAGACGGCCGAGCTTGGTGACGGGCTGCCACTCCTTCTCCTCGCTCTTTCCGCCGCGGCGGCCGCGACCACGACCACGTCCACGGCCACGGTCACCACCGCGGGATCCGAAACCACCGCCACGGGGGGCGCTTGCACCACGGTCAGCCATAATTGTCGATGTGAGGTGAGGGGAGGGTTGCAGAGGAAAAGAAGTTGCTGCTGCGGTTAGTGGTGGTTGATGGGGGGGAAGTTATTTCGAGATTCGTTCACCCACGACTTTTTTTGCGGGGGTCTGTGGTGGCTGTCAGGGCCGGACTAGGACATTATTTTTGCAGTTGTGCACCGGCCTTTTTCGGAAGGCGGGCTTTGGCGAGCCCTAACGGACCTGAGGAGGAAAGAGGTGGCCTGAGCTCCGAGGCAGACTTTTCGAGGCGCTCGGTGAGCAGGGTGGGGGTCCTGGGTTCCGCGGGACAGCTCACCGAGACAGACCGAAATCATATCATTCGGCTCCACTATTGGCGCATGGTGGGTGAAATTCCCCAAAGTCGCAGACTCAATGCGCTCCAACCACACTCCACTGATAAACCAGGGTCGATCAATGCCTTGGGTAAACAAACCGTGACCCAAACCGAACCCCGCGCAGTCGCAATTTCATGTGAGTCACTGTCCAGTTCATGTTGCAGTCGTCGTCGCGGCGCAAAAGCTCCCAAATGCAATGTCCCAGGGTTGTCATCATTATCGTGGGCCGCCTATGTACACCAGCCTTTGTCACCGCCGATCCCCGCCTCCATTGCTTGTGCTCTCTTCCAAACGACGAAAAAATTTGGGCTTACGAACCTCCCCCATGCGCAATGCAAACTCCATGAGCTGTGAGCCGGATATCGTACATGAGAAAAACTAGAAAAACCAGAAGTGGGGTTGGGAGGGTATCGCAACTAGAAGCAACTTGCGCTGCAAAGCCACCAGGTGTGTGTGTAGAGTTGTATGTGAGGGCTGAAATACTCGTATGAAATACTAGTAGATGTGGAGTTGAGGGTTTGAATATGGACTCATGAGCAGTGTGGTTCTCTTCCAGTCTTTTACTCGTCCTTCCGGATGAGAGAGTCGGAGGGCTTGACCCGTTGCGCCCATTCGCTATGCATATGTTAGTTGGTGAGACGATTTCTCTGATGGTGAATAAACTCACGTCCAGCTTCCGTCGTATACTCTGCGCTTCTCAGGGGAACCCCATCCGGCCTCCTCCATAGCAGTCTCAATGACACAGGCAGTCACGCCGGTGCCGCAGCTCGAGACGATGGGCTTCTCAGGGTTGACGCCCTTCTCCTTGAAGATCTGCTTCAGCTTCTCGGCCGGGTAGAAGGCCTTGGTCTCGGGGTCGAGAACGGCGTTGAAGGGGATGTTGATCGAGCCGGGCATGTGGCCTGACGACAGTCCCTCTCGCGGCTCGGGGTCCTTTCCGGTGAAACGTCCCGGCGACCGCGCATCGATAACCTGCACGCCCTCGGCGCCCTCCTTGTTGTGGTCCAGCGCAATCTCACGCACCTCCTCGAACTCGGCAACCTTGCTCTCGTCCAGCTTGGGGATCGGGTAGGGACAGCACTCGACGCTGTACAGCTCGCCGGACTCGGTGGGCAGCTCCTGGTCAACCCACAGCTTGAAGTTGTTGAGGAGGTGGACCTTGGGGTGGCCAAAGATCTTGAGGGTCCAGCCGACGCGCGGGGCGCTGAAGATGCCGAGCTCCTTGCTGTCGTAGACGACGACGGTGTCCTCCTTGCGGATGCCGAGCTCGCTCATGGCGGCGGCGAAGTCCTTTGCGGAGGGCAGCATGTGAGGGTAGGGGCTGCGGCGGTCGATGACCTTGTCGAGGTCAAAGAAGCGTGCCTTGGGGATGCGCTGCTGGCGGAAGACCTCGATGCCGGTGCGGCCGTCGTTGGGCAGGAACCAGGAGGCGCAGAGGGGAATAACGCGGGGCTCCGGGCTAATCTTGGAGGGCGGGTTCTTCTTGAGGGCCTCGTCGAGCTCCTTGGGGGTGACGAGGTAGGAGGAGAAGGAGCGGCGCAGGGCGAAGGCGGCGAGGGGGCGGGCGCATTGCCATTGCGGCAGCTTCGCGGCGGTGCGCGGCGACCGGAAGATGGCGACGGTGGCCATCGTGTGTGTGTGTGGTGTGTGATGGTTTTCCTACTCTTAGGAGTTCTGAATCACCTGGGTTGGGTGGTGAGCGATGTCAGATGGAGGTCGGTCGGGAGAGGACGGGACGGACGACGACGATGACTGCGGCGGCGGACGGGGGATCGGGTCGTTTATCGGTCGATGACAACGGCAGCAGGGCGGGCAGCCCGGAACGCAGGGCCCTCAGAGGGTGGCAGGAGAGAGGGAAGAAAAATCACGAAGGCCAAAGCCGCAGAGGCATTGCATGTGGTTGGTTTGCGTGCGGGGTTCGGAGAGGGGAAGCTACGAATGAGGCTTGACCTTTTTTTTTTAAGGCGGTTGGCAGTAGTGAAAGACGTAGGTGGAGGAATTTGCGGTGGTGGGTGATGGTGGTGTTGTTTGGGCGGGAGGCCGGTGACCGGTGGTGGGCAAGTTTTTTTGGAGAAGGGCGACCGGCGGCTGGTGTCGTTATGAACGTCGACCAGTTGGCAACAAAGATGGGAATCGCAATGGAAAGCGGGAGACAGCAACTGTCCGGTAAAATCTGAGTGACCACCACCTACAAAGGTAGCGCCAACTGGTTGGTTCCAGTTTCCATCGCGCCTCCTCCGCGGGCAATCATTGGGCGGGTCCAATCCAGTTCAGCGTCAACGGGAACCCATCAATGGGACTTTACACGACGTGGACAGCCCAGGGCATGTTCCCTGGCTGCACCTGCCCTCTGAACTTCTGAAGAGATAAGCGGAAGGTGGTCGGGGTCCGCTTCGGTGACTGGCCGGCGACTTGAGCGTCCGTCGTTGGCTGACAATGGCCACTGCCAGACTGCCCACGCTTTGTGCTTGACCAGTGGAGCAGACTAATAACCTGGAAGGTAAGGTAGCACGCCAACGGTCCACCAGCAATCAGTCGCTGCTGTGTGGTGTTCATGGGCACGCGAACGCTCAATGCGGGGAGCTTGGGCCATGTCGCCATCTTTTTTCGACGTGATTGACTGGCTTTGGGGGGTGCCCTGCTGTTGCCCCGCAGACGCTGCTGGAGTGTCCCGCGTCGCAACTTCAACAAACAAGAGCCGGATGCACGTCAGCAAGACAGGCTGCTTCGGCTTGACTTACCTAACATCCGCCAACTTGTGTGTCAATGTTGATGCAAACCTCTTGCAAACACAGAGGACAAAAGCAACAACCAGGATCCATATTGCATAAAAAACCAGCATCATGAAGGTCAAGATTACCCGCTGGAACACCGTCGCGACGTGGCGGTGGGATATCCCCGAGGACGACGTCTGCGGCATCTGCCAAGTCCACTTTGACGGCACATGCCCAACATGCAAATACCCTGGCGATGACTGCAGCCTTTGTGAGATGGCCATTCTCTTGTCGACTTGTTTCTATTACTGACCACATCCAGTGTCTGGCAAGTGCGGCCACAACTTCCACATGGTGAGTCAATCTTCATCAGCTATACGGTCCCATCCTTCTAATACAACAAACAGCACTGCATCATGGAGTGGATCAAGCAAGACTCAGCCAAGGGCCAATGCCCCATGTGTCGTCAGAGTAAGTTCCTCGCCAACCTTCCTGGATGGCGTGCACTGCTGACATGCTACAGAATTCGAGTGGGAGAACCAGGTCCCCGAGGTTGGAGTCGAGCGATAGTCTCCGTATTGATTTCTTCCTGGAGTTTTGGCGTTTCATTTTGCGGGAGAAAGTAGAGATACCCAAGTCTGGCGACAAAGAGGGTCGTTTTGCATCAACATAAAGACTTCGGTATGAAGCAATGCCATAGAAGAAAACTCTATCAGGTTTACCTTGTTTTGGTAGCCCATGTGTGGGCGAGAACAAAAGTATTGATTGAAATTGAAACTGCCACAGAATTTTTATTGTCCCTCTTGGTTCATTAGACTTATGGTCTTGTTCCTTTACCTCTGTGCCCGGCCTTGATGAGACTGAGGAATACTATAGCTTCGACAACAGCATGGCCACAAGATTATGTCCAAGATTCCCAGCCATGAAGTAATTGGATCAATTTCTCTTCGTCCCAAACAAAATTCCCAAGCTATTTCTAGATTCGTTGACACTTCCTCCCATCTCCAAACTCAGAGGGAGGTCGTCGTTGGCTGCATCACATGCAAGATCACGACCCCTACTCGCAGTCACGTGGGGATAAGCGATAAGAGACGTTACCCCAGATCGACCTCACTCCACCATGCCGCCCTACAGCAGCTCCAACTTCCGTCCCTCCCTGGACCCCATCGCCGAGTCCTGCTCCCTCCACCTCGACAAGGGAAAAGATGCCAACCGGCGCATCGCGCCCCAACCCGACGACACACCAGATTACCCCCGCGACTGCCGCTGCCGACACATCATTAAGACCATTTGCAAGACCAAACCCTACCCGACATCAGCAGACCTGCACAGTCTCATGATGGCCGACGTCCCGAGCCCCGAGGTCGCCGACCAACAACACCAAGCTCCCGCCGCTCCCGGCGCTGCCTCCCTGTCATCATCGCAAACACAAAAGCCAACCGACGCCAAACCTGCGCCCGCGGTAGAAACCGTCGTCACAGACACCGACGCCGACCCGCAGCAGCAACAGCAGCAGCCCGCAGAAGACCACCAACCCTCCGACGCCCACCCCGCGACCCCGAAACTCGACCCGGCCGGCTTCTTCACCCTCGTCTCCAACGCCAGCACGAACACGACGCACCACCCGACCGTGCGGTACATCTTCGCCGACGACGACCCGGACGTACTCACCTCCGCGCTCGCGGCGCAGCACGCCGCGAACCAGGCCTCGTCCTCGTCCTCCTCGGCAGCAGCGGCGGGAGCACCGAACAACAACCGCGCGATTTTGTTGGATGTCGTCCCCGGCGAGGATGGGCGGTGGACGGTGGCTTCGGCTGCGAGTTTGAGCGCGGATTTTGCGGTGACGCAGGCGAGTATTGAGAGGCAGGAGGGGGAGAAGGAGGGGGGCGGGATGGTGTTGAAGATTGATGGCGTCGAGGGCGAGGGGAGCGGCGGTGGTGGTGCGGGGGATAAAGCGGAGAGTTTGCCGAGTTCGAATAGCGCGGTGGCTAAGTCTGGCGGGGAGGAGTACGGGCCCTTGTTGGAGGATTTCGAGAGGAAGATGAGTGTGTTGAGGAAGGTTGTTAAGGCTGGGGAGGGGAGGGCTGAGAAAGCGCGGGAGACGAAGGCTGCTGGCGAGGAGGGGAAGGGGGATGAGCAGGAGTGAAGGCTGCAATGAGGTTTTGGGTTTGCTTTGTGATGTTTATTGGAAGCGCCTTATGGACAGGGCTGAGGTTTGCGCAGCTTGTGACGAGGTAGGTTACTCCATGAGGCGGGATGTTGACGGTCACTGACAGCTTCACAGACGTGTTTGGACGAGAGATGTGTCCGTGATGCTACATCATAGCTGTGGATGGATGTGTATGAGTAACGAATCATGAATTACGACTGGGGCAAGGCATTATAGACGCTACTACACAGCCGGACAGATGGCTTGGTGTTATCCTAATCGGTAGAGAGGACTTCGCGGTCCAGTTTTCGGGTCAGGTTGGACGAATAGAACAAGTTTTGACAGTACGCTGGTGCCATCGGTGATTGGGTATTGGCCGGCTTCGTCTCCCGAATTCATGTCTTCCCACGGCGCCTCTTGAGCAAACGGAGTATCACGTGCCCGACTCACGTATCGTCATCGAGATATGAGATGTATTTAAGAGAGGACATCCCCTATTTACCTAAGTATAGAGAAATCAATATCACACTCGTAGAGGCTTTCCCAGACTTTTCAGGTAAAAGAGGAAGCTTTATGTAGGTTCAGTGGCTGGTAACCCTTACCTTCGAGTTCGTGTCTGCTTTCCACACTTGCTTCGGTGTCGTCCTTCATTACCGCCTTCATAGTAATGATATGTTGGTCTGAAGCAGAATAAACAACGGGCAGAAGTCACAGGACGCCAGATGAGGGCTGTGTGGCAAACTACCAACCGCCTCTTTCCCAGCGCGGTGGCTTTGCGGCTTTCTGAGAGTCGCAATGAGAAACAAAGCAATGTTATGTGGTGATCGATTTCCTTGCAACAGATGCGATTTTGCGCATGGCTCTACATTAAAGAAACCTCCTTTCCTTTAAGTACAGTTGCAGTACTTGTAAATTCACCCATGCGGACGTCTTGGCGTAATAAAAAGCATCACGAGCAGGAGTCATCACACCATAAGCATTGTCAGAACGGATTCAAGTTTTTCTATTATAGAACAAAGCCAAACACCTGCAATAAGGTACCTATGCTACATAGATTTCTTCGTCATGTTACGAAACAATCTCAGTCATTATTCCTACGAGAATATGATGAGAATGACAGACATGGACGACGGCGGATAGACATGACGACAGCTGTGATGCCAAGACGGGCAGTTCCAATGAGCTGTTCATTTGCACAAGCTCACTAAACCATGCATCTGCGTAATCGACCGTCAGCCCTATTTGCCGCCTGCGGGAAAACGAAAACAAAATCGAAAACCTCGGTTTATATAATTATGTTTCCGTAATCGCAGCTGCTCCCGCAAGAAGACATTTGCACTTGCCCTCCAGGCTTACACTTTGTGGGCTCATCGCATGTCTGAACCGGAGGAGGTAAGACGGATCTCAGCTATACATATATTTATACATATTCTCTGTTCTCTTCTAGCAGACAGGAAGCCGGCAAGATGCGACCTGGGCTTGTACGTTCTGCAGCCAGTGTTTGGGCCATGAACAATTAAGAATTTGTGTCTCCTAAGTGATGAGAAGGTCTCGCCGCAACACCTGCATCAGTGTTATGGACGCTATCTCTGGTTCTACCTGCTGTTTTTCGTCCCGTATTCCCCTATGAATACGATTTCTCTTCGTCGCTGCAGATAGAACTTCTCCACGAGAGACGCCGGCGACTTTCCACAGGGAGCAGCTTGTCCAAGAGCATCCCTCAATAATATGGGATGGATGATGCAGAAAATCAACACATTTTTGAT